TGCGTTTGAATGCCCTTGAACACAATTTTTGATCAGAAAACAGCAAAGGTAAGACGTATTTTCCGTTTTGGCCCCGTAAAGTGAAGTTGTGTGTTGTCTTTCCTGGCTTTCGCTGCTGTGAGTTTTGGTCGCACAGTGGTAATACTTATACCAATGGAATCTGTGGAATATCAGCTTTCATATGATACCTAGTTTGTGCAGATTGCCGCGGGGGCAATCGGGCTTAACCTGTTGAGCCCCACAGACCCGCGCAAAAGCGCAGCGTCTGAGGGCTTCTTAACATTTAACAAACTATGAATGTGTTATACCCACCTAACGGGAAGAAACTCAGCTAACTGACGATACGAACCATTTTTACCGAAACAAAACACAAGTCTCACAAGAAGCGTCTAAATGAGCCCTGAGCGAAAAAATGCTAATGCACTTAGCACAGAACTCACGGTGGAAATACTTTATTACTTATCGGATCTGCACAAACACGATATCAGCTAGCAAACTGAGATTCCACAGATTCTAGAAGTATTAGTATCATCACTGTGCGATCAAAACTCGCGGCAGGGGAAGCGAACCCAGACATCACACAACTAGATGTCGTTTTACGGAGCAAAAACGGGAAATATTCTTACCTTTGCTGTTGTTCTGATCAAAAGTTGTGTTCAATGGCATTAAAACAATAAAAACGCTGCTGAAGGTTAATCCAATGGTTAATCCAATGTGCTGTCTGTGTCACTTTGAAATAATTACTGGTAATCCATCATCATATTTATGGTAATTTCAGTTTTCCGTTTTCACAGTGTAACGTAGCTTTCGGTTTGGGCAAACTGCGTGTGCATCACTCTCACTCCTCATTCAGTGCTTCTCAAAGTGTGGTCCGCGGACCACTGGTGGTCCGTGAGCGCCCCCTAGTGGTCCGTGAGTATATTGGTAAAATTTCACATTTGAAATAAATAAATTGATTTAAGTTTTTCGCACTCTCGCGGGAATATCTCCGCAATGGAACGAGCTTAAGTTTCACCTTCATCACACATGTTTCCACTTTTTGTACAATTTTCAGGCGATTTGTAAAAAACGATGTGTTTTTGGATATTTGTGGAGTTAGGTGGTCCGCGAGTATTTTTTTATTGGTTAAGTGGTCCTTGGTATGAAAAAGTTTGAGAAACACTGGTGTACGTGTATGTGGATTTAGGATCCCCCCTCGATATTGGCTCTAATGGTAAAAAAGAGGTGTCAATCATCAAAATCGACCAATGGGTTCCAGAGAAACGGCAAATCCACCCAAATGACCCCAGAAGTGTTTTATTTTTGCTAAACCTCTCTAAAAAGGTCAAATATCACTTGTGTTGCATCAATCTTGCTTTTAAGTCTCCGATCCCATCATTCAAGGGTGGTTTTCACTATAAGTAATGTTTTTTTTTTGGACGGACACTATAATTTATATTTTTTTACTATGTTCAATCTGAATGACTGTCACACAACCAGCTGATAAATATCCCCCATCCCCATAAGTGAATGTGTTTCAGTATACTATGAATTGACGCTGTTTGGCATCACAACGGTGTTATGAAAGTTTCTCTGGTATAAAATGGGGGATGTTAGCATAGTTACCGAAGCTAATCTGACTATCTTGACTACTTTTCTACAGGCACATTTTACCGGCGTATTTTTCATTATGATTCTACTTGTGATGGTCGGTCATGACAACCTGTGCAGCCCATGTATTTGATTCCATCCGATAGCAACAGGAAAACGTCTGCCTGCTCTCCACAATGATCAATGACAGCGAATGGATGGTCAAAGTAAGGTACAAATAAACAGAATTACACTAAGCCTGTTTAGTGTTGCCTGACTTTATAAAGTGTGTTGTTTTTTTTAAGTGTGTGGTCGCGTTCTTGTCACTTTGCTCAGCACTACTGTTTGTTACAACTTGTATTTGCCGAACTCGCCATGAACTGTTATTGCTCAGGTTAATCCCAGTGGATCGTCGGAGCTGTTAGATTAACATTAACATGCTTATTGTAGTTCTAAATGCAATGCCTTGAGGCCTGTCGCACCATCCTTGATGGAGCATATGTGTGGGCTGGACCTGTATTTTACAGGAAAGGAGTGAGCAGAGGGTCGAGTTGTCGATTCTTGTTCTGTTTTCTGTGACTATCTTCCTCACCCTGACTTTCAGTTGCGTGCGCTACTAAAGAGACGTGCTACCATGGAAACCAAACAATGGTGTAGCTGCATTAAAGTCCGAGTGGAAACAGTCGTGAGTAAATCTGATTTTGTCAGAAATCGGGAGAAATGTGGGAGAAATATGACCCCGGGAGGAAACCGGGAGAGGGCAATGAAATCGGGAGTCTCCCGCGAAAATCGGGAGGGTTGGCAAGTATGACTCAGGGTCCTTCCCTGATTAAACTAGGGAATAACTGGGCTACATAGGGTAGCAGTAGCCTGCATATTAGAGGTTTATGATGCATGGGTTTTAAAGGTCCCATGTCATGCTTTTCCGGTTATTACCCGTCCCCTTGTGTGTTATGAAGGTTTTTATGCATGTAAACGGTCTGCAGAGTCAAAACCCCTCAAAGTACACCCTGTAGCGAGTACAACTCTAACACAGAAAATACCTCCTCAAAACGCCTCGTTGGAGATTTCTCATTTTCTTCCTGGGTACTCTGACGTGGGGATACCCAGAGGCCACACCCTCTGCCAGCCTTTCACGAAACAAAGCTTCCCAAACCTTTCAGCGATTCATGCCGGATATGTACAGCGTAGGGCACTGAAGAACGATGCTGTTCCTACTTTGTTTGGACCAGCGGGAGATTCGGGTACACAACCTGTAAGTATTCATTGTTGTTTGTGTATTTATGATGTTTAAAACAAACAAGGTATCTACCACGACTGTTTAAATGGGTAAACGTTTTTCGGGCTACTAAGTTGGGATCGTAGGAGAAATGCTCTCTGCAGACCCATTCTCACAGCGTTATAAACCTTTTTCTTACTCAATATCAAGCCACTCTTATTGTTTTTACTTCGGCTGTGAGTGTTTGTGTGTGCTCATGAATTTCGCTTATTCTCGCTGTATCGCAGAGAGGCTCGTTTCTGCGATCTGCTGTGAGGTATGGAGGACGGAACATGACATAAGTATAAATAAATAAATAAATGTGTAAATGTATGAAGAAATAAGGAAATAAATAAATAAATACAGGAATAAATAAATGAGGAAATAAATACAGAAATAAATAAATGAGGAAATAAATACACAAATAAATAAATGTAGAAATAAATACAAAAATAAATAAATAAAAGAATAAATGCATAAATAAATATGGAAATAATAAATACATGAATGTATAAATAAATAAATAAAAGTCTAAAATAAAACAGAACACACGTTATTATATATCTTTAATATAATTCTACATTTACGGTCACTTACATGTATTTATTTATGTATTTCTGTGTCCGTATACTAATGAGGTGGGCGGTCCTAACCTCAGTCTGAAGTATGATTGGTTACAGGAGTGTGATCATTTCTGACGGATTGGGTTTAGCAGAAGTGGCATGATTTTGTTCTCAGGAGGAGAATTTGAGAGAATATTACCCAAAAAGTACACAGTAAAAGTACTTCATTTTATTGTTGGTAGCAGTCAAACTAGGACTGACTCCAAACAGTGTACCTTTTATTAAGAACTTATGGTAAAAATTATTTGTATCGCTCTGAAAAAGAAAGCAGAAAAAACATGCATTATTTTACTCTTGTACTAGCGTCAGAGCCGCTTCTCAGCGATTACCGTAAAGGCGTGATAAATCGTGCACTCAAAAATGAAGAGCTGCTGATTTGACCAAGCAAACGCAAGAGACGGCTGAGGTGACCGCAATAACGAACGTGTGCTTCAATAACATTTGGGGGCAAGTCCTCGTTCCACACGAAACTGGACATAGTCTTTTGGTTCTCCATTCTCTAAATGGTCCGCTAATGATCTCCAATGATCTCATGGCTCTTAAACCAATAACCATAAATAAACCTGAGTACATTTGAATTGTCAACAATTACAACTGTGGATAAACCATGGATGTATAAAGATAAGGGCTAAACAGTAATGCTCCTCCTGCATTCGAATCAGCGCTATCAGCCAGGCGTTAGAAGTAGAGCCCAATCTGCCAGAAATGATCACACTCCTGTAACCAATCATGCTTCAGACCATACTTGCCAACCCTCCCGATTTTCGCGGGAGACTCCCGATTTCATTGCCCTCTTCCGGTTTCCTCCAGGTTTCCTCCCGGGGTCATATTTCTCAAGCATTTCTCCCGATTTCTGACAAAATCAGAGTTACTCACGACTGTTTCCACTCGGACTTTAATGCAGCTACACCATTGTTTGGTTTCCATGGTAGCACGTCTCTTTAGTAGCGCACGCAACTGAAAGTCAGGGTGAGGAAGATAGTCACAGAAAACAGAACAAGAATCGACAACTCGACCCTCTGCTCACTCCTTTCCTGTAAAATACAGGTCCAGCCCACACATATGCTCCATCAAGGATGGTGCTACAGGCCGCAAGGCATTGCACTTAGAACTACAATAAGCATGTTATTGCCCCCCCCATTTCTTCATACATTTATTTACACATCTATTTTTTTTATACTTATGTCATGCTCACAGGCGCTCCAACAAGCCGTTTTGGACAGAGAGTGAATACCGGTGAATACACATACTTTACAGAGATGCTGTATGAGAAACCAATGTGAGTTTGGAAAATTGCACAATATAAATCTATTCTAGTAGACCTCAACAATGGAATTATGATCAGTGGAAATGGCCATGACATGGGACCTTTAACAATAGTAGGCATCTATTCTTTTGAGAAGCCTTTTCTATCCTTCATTACCCCTCGTCCTGGACTATAAAATAATTAGACTTATGGACAGTTTAAAAATTCCTTTTAAGTATTTTATGAAATAAATAACATTTACTGTGTGATTTGGAGTTTTTGAGCTTGAGCATGTGACACCTACTCTCTTTGTAGGGGTTGAAGGGATCAGAGTACGTGTGAGGGTAGTTCTCCAGGTCCTCCTCATAGTTCACCAGATCAGGTTCAGTCTGGATATCAACCGTGTAGGCCCTGCACAGGAAGAGAGGGACATGTCAAACACATTCAACATTCATGGTGTTTGGATTTTACACAGGAAGTAACACAACATCCTGAAGCAATATGGTAATATGCTCAGATATCTATAAATTAAAAAGGAGAAAGAAATGTATATTAAGTGAGTTTACTCAAACTAAGATTTAAAAAGATAGAAGAGCATGTTTTATTTGGAAGACTTGTTGGTTTTATAGTTTTAGATATAGATGTATACAGTAGATGATATTGTTTTACATGAAGATGATACATAAAGTACTGGAAGACTCAGTTAAGTGTCTTCACTTTGGTTTAAAACTAATTTTCACAGACCAACACTGCCGAGCTGTGTGATGATCCTGATATGAGTGTGTTAGTCATTGCCCTGACATCAGATTTAAAGATTTAACAAACTCACAGTTTATTAGCTTCATTAAAATGTATGATTATATATCTTGAAAAACAGAAAATGTGTGTTTCTGTAGGACTATTTTAAAACACAAGTGCCTTAAAAATAACAAATTAGATGAATGTCAGCTTCCCAGATATCTACTGAACATTATAGTTATAATTCAGGTGATAGAGGTGTGTACCTGTCGTAGGGTGTGAGGTGTTCGGTCAGATCACACTCTGACTCGGTCATCCGGATGCAGTCTTGACTCGAACTCCAATTATTGTCATCACTGGTGGTCACATGACAAAACAACGAACAGAAAAAATGTTTGTATGTGTGTAATAAAAAATAACTCATGGTCTGCTGACCGACACTTTCCATTCCTGACAGGATCTGTTTGTGTGAAATAACAACAAAAATACATTTGAATACAAATAAAACGTTTTGGAGAAGATTGTTGCATCATTATGAGAAAAATAAACTATAATTAGATTAAATGGTCCGACAGAACCATAAAAATGCTTTTATAGCTGCCATATTTTAAGTCCAATTTTTTTTGTCAGACAACCCAGCTTCAGTTCCGAGAGTGCTCTGTGTTGTAAACTTAGGCATTGACCTTGAATAATTTAAGCGAGGATAGGTTGAAGATAGGGTTGCATAGTTAGTTGAATTTTAATCAAACTTGCAATATGGCCCAGTGCAGAGGCCTTTGGGGCAAATCCGGCTTGCAAAGAATATCATAAGTTTATCATACAGTCATATGCCGCTTAATAGTAGTACGGTGCCCATAAACTACATGATGAATTCATGAATAATACGGTGGCCTTGAAGTGCAAGTCAAAACAATATTTCACAAAATGCTACAGCATTTCAGAAAACGCTACAGCATTTCAACTATTACGGAAAGGGTATTCCTTTAGGGAGAACACTTCTTGTTTGTGATTGGACAGAGCCAGCCAGAGAAGCACTGCTGTGATTGGTTGTTTTTGCTGCCAGTCAAGAAATGACGCTTCGTGATCGGTCAGCACCCGACAGCGCCACTTATTTCCTGCTTGGTACTATTCAGCTGTTTCTGCACACATTTTAAACTGAGTTGGAAAGAATGGAAGAAGAGATGGAAATCTTAAGGGAATATTTTTACAATGGATATACATATGATGTTATCCTCAACATGCTGTCAACCCATCACCACATCAACATGTCCCAAAACATCAGCCGTTAGCTGTTAGCACACAGAGCTCACAGCTCCTCATATCTGTTCAGAAACTGGACAAAAGTTAAACATGAACACAGACTGTCTGTGTCATGGTGAATACAGTCGCTGCTTTATTTCTGTCTGACGTTGTTGTGAGTGTGGACGGAGCAGCTACAGGTTAGTTTAGCCCAGGGGTACTCAAATACAAATCTTAAAGGTCCAAAATAAATGTTTCAATAAGACAAAGGTCCGTTTATTACGGTCATTCAAACTTTTAAACAATTGCAACAAGATTCTTAACACGAGGTTGCAAAAATAAAAAGTCTCTGTATGCAGCAGTTTTCATTGTTATTGTTTCTGTGCTTGACCCCTCAGAGTCGCAGTGTAAGAGCTGCACAGTTATGAATAAAGGCAGCTGCACCCTCTTTCATTCAGCATTCCCATTATTGCTTTATAAATGTCTTGCCTCCTTGTGTGTCCACTGAGGTTCGTCAGGCCCAACACATCTTCAACAAACTCCCCCTTTGCCTCATCATAACAACTCACAAACACCAGCAACTGAGTATTGTCAGTGGAGTCAGTGGACTCACCCACAGCTAAGGAAATGCACTGTGCATTTTCTATTCCATCACAAAGCTGATGAATCAAATCACCAGCCAGTATTTATGTTCTTCTGGTTGCTGTGGAATCTGAGAGGGGGATTTGCTTGATTTGACCTGTTATTTCCTCTTTTTGTTTGCCTTCAACATGGTCTCCATCACTTCAGTCATGCATTCTTTTATACTTCAGTTATTATCCAGTGGAAAGTCCTTACCTACTGGCCTAGTTAAATCAAAGTGGTTACTTTTTTTTGGCTGGGCAGTGTAGTTTTACACACCGTCTGATTTGACTTTCTCAGGACTTAAAACAGTTTTTTGGGGGCAGACCCCCTCAAAGAAAACAATATATTTACACACGTAAGGTCATCATCTTAATAGTTGTGTATGCTCATCCGTGAGCAGAGCATCAAGTTGACATGTCTATTACAGCTGAATGCGGCGATTACCATTTTGTTCAGCAAAACGCCTCACAAACGTATTAAGATCAACAGCTTCAGTGCGTTTTGATTCAATGCTGAGTACAGCCAAACTGACAGTCTCTTCTCCGTCAGACCGCAAATACCTCATTCCTTCAGCGCTTGGGTCCGAATGCTTCTCGTTTTGCGCCGTCCAGTTCAAAATGAAATCGCCGCCAAATCGTATGTCCACGCTCGCGCCAGGACCGGGGGAGGGGTTACATGATGTGCATCTTGTGCTGCATTCACTTGCACTCGGACATTAGAGACTTTCTCTCATAAATGTCCGATGAGCCACAACTTTTCTTTCAAAACAAAGCTGCCAACTGGGGTGGCAGCTGGGGTGGCAAGGCCTATTTTTAGGGTGTCAGTTGCCACCCCGGTAGGTGAAACTAGGCTACTAGCTAGAGTACAGATGGAACTAGATGAGCTGTTAACTCTCGCTCTGAAATTTTTTTGTTTTTGTTTTAATTCTCGCTCTGACTTAGACAGGTTGAAAGAGACACACACATGTTTCCCACCCGCATTCCGCGAAGACCCGCCCTACTGTGCCTCTGATTCGCAGATTGTTTGGGGGGGAAAAACGCTGACTGGATGCTGAATGTGATTGGACCAAAGCGTTGACACACACAGGTGGAACACAGTGGAACAGTCAGACATGCAGAGCGCTGTTTGCAGTGGACATAGCGGAGAATTTTGACTCGTTGCGAATGCGTTGTGGCGATGTCTCACATATAATACAGAGAGATCATACATATGAAAAGTATAATTTGCTCAGAGTCCGGAGACAGTGCTGGTTCGGTCCGGATCCGGACCGGAGTCCGTAGTTTGAGGATGCCTGGTTTAGCCTGATCGATCTGATCTCCATTCAGAAAACACATATTTTAAAGGGGACCTATCATGCAAAATGCACTTTTTTATGTCTTTTATACATAAATATGTGTACCCAAATCCTCCGTACCCAAATATTTTAAAAAAACGGGTGTACAACGAGCGGATACAGATTTGCTACCGATATGACGTCAAATCGGCGGCGGACCCACAGAAAGTTGCTATCAGAAACTATGCCTGATGTGTTTTGGACGTGATCTCATCTTTGTTTACATTAGCAAGCCTCGCTAATATTCAGAGCTAACCTGTACTGAAGAGCACATGTGTTTAAAAAGCAGGAAATAAAAAAAGGAGCTCACCTTGTGATAAACCTGCAAGAGAAAAAGCATTTGAGCTCCATACTGTTTCAGAAATAATCTTTGATGTGGATAAGAACAGGATGGCGTTTTATTACAACATAATTTAACTTTATCTCCGGTAGAATTCTGATCAGGCATTAGCTCCGCCTCCTCTTTTCTTTTTTTTCAAGCTAAGGACCCAAAATCCGCGTTTCTCTAACAGGGCTGCAAAAGAGGGGTATGAGCAGTATGAGGCATGGCTACAATGGGTGAACTGTTTGGTATTTTAAAGTGGACCTATCATGCAAAATGCACCTTTATACGTCTTTTATACATGAATATGTGTCCCCGGTGTGTCAGGGAACTCACCAAGTGTCAGAAAACACAACCCTCTCTCTTTTCCTCCATACCCAAATCTCTGAAAACAGGGCTGCAACGGATCTGATACAGACTGATACAGATTTGAAAATTCTCTGACGTCAGAAACGAGGAGCTCCGCCTATATGGGCAACTCTCCACCTATCAGGAGGAGACAGCCACGGCCATTGCCGTTTGAAAGCGCTGGAGACGCTGTAGTACATATGCCAGGCCTGTAGGTGGTGCTGTAGTCTGCCACAAAAGCAGCGAAGAAGACTTCTCAGATTCAGCTCTTGCAAAAACAGGGCTAAAATAGAGCAAATAGAGCGAAATGAGGCAAATAGAGCGAAATGAGGCATGGCTAAAATGTATGATCTGTTTAGTATTTTTTTTTTTTAAACTTTGCAGACATGTTTTGTATAGGTATGGCCCAACAATATATTTTTCCAATATAATGAATTAATTCATGGTTTTTACTAATCGCTCGAGTTTCACCGCGGCTGTCAGCTGTGTAAGCCCCAGCCCCCTCACCAGTGCGTCCTGTTTGAATGACAGGAGTATATATCCATGCAAATACTACGGTAGATACCAAATACAACAAAATTAACATATTTTATCGTGATTTAATTGTAATACATGTTTCAAAATGATGCCGAAGTAACAACATGCTGATACCGGTTAGTAAAAACCAATAATTAATGCTTTGGCAAGTGTGCAGACAAGATGTCAGACGAAAAACCTTTAAAATGTGTGTTTTCTGAATGGAGATCGGATTGATCAGGCTAATCTAACCTGGAGCTGCTCCGTCCAAACTCACAACAACGTCATACTCTTTAGTGGTTCATTAATAAAACAGATGTTTCAACGTGTGCCTACTTTGTTCATGTACTGTTGAGGTTAATTTCAGTAGCTGTGTGCTATAATGTATTTACAAAGTATGAAGAGGAGGCACCTTTAGAATAGGGAACCTGTTCAGGTCAATTAGAGTCAAACTACTAGCTTATTGGTTATGAACAAGACTTCACAACATGTTCTTAGATAGAAATACCCAATTGTTTGAGTTATTCCAAGAGCAGCCAGGCTGTGGACGCACATGAAGCCCAGGAGCCCGACCCTATTGTTTTAGACAGGGCAGATGTGTGCAAATCCTTTAAAAGGGTTAACCCACACAGGCTCCTGGACCTGATGGCCTCCTTGGCCGTGTTCTCAGGGTGTGTGCAGTTCAGCTGGCAGAGGTGTTCACAGACATCTTCAACAGGTCCCTGCTGCAGTCTGTAGTCCCCACATGCTTTAAACACTCCACCATCGTTCCTGTCCCCAAAAAGTCAAAAACCACCAGCCTCAACGACTACCGCCCAGTAGCACTCACCTCCATCATCATGAAGTGCTTTGAGCAGTTAGTCAAAACACTCATCACCTCCTCTCTCCCTGACTCTCTGGACCCTCTGCAGTTTGCCTACAGAGCAAACAGGTCCACAGACGACGCCATAGCCCCCCCCCCCCCTCCACACTGCCCTCTCACACCTGGACCAGAGGAACACATGTGAGAATGCTGTTCATTGATTACAGTTCAGCTTTCAACACCATTGTGCCCTCCAAACTGGCCATCAAGCTCAGAGACCTGGGGCTCAACAGCACCCTCTGTGATTGGATCATGAACTTCCTGACGGGCAGACCCCAGGCAGTGCGGGTGGGAAACAGCACATCTTCCACGCTGATCCTCAACACCGGATCCCCTCAAGGCTGCGTGCTCAGCCCTCTCCTCTACTCCCTGTTCACACACGACTGCGTGGCCACACACAGCTCCAACACCATCGTGAAGTTTGCTGACGACACGACCGTCATCGGCCTGATCACCGACGGCGACGAGACGGCGTACAGAGAGGAGGTCGAAAACCTGACATCTTGGTGCCAGGATAACAACCTCCAACTCAACGTCAGCAAAACAAAGGAGCTGATTGTGGATTACAGGAAGCAGCAGAGAGAGGGACACGCCCCCATCACCATCAATGGGACTACGGTGGAGAGAGTCAGCAGCTTCAGGTTCTTCAGTGTCCACATCACTGAGGACCTGACATGGACTCTTCACTGAGGACCTGACATGGACTCATCACACCACCACCATCACCAAGACAGCTCGACAGCAGCTCTTCTTCCTCCACAGGCTGAGGAGGTTCAACATGGACTCCAGGATACTCTGCAACTTCTACAGGTGCACCATAGAGAGGATCCTGACCTTCTACAGGTGCACCATAGAGAGGATCCTGACCAGGTGCACCAGAGAGAGGATCCTGACCTTCTACAGGTGCACCATAGAGAGGATCCTGACCTTCTACAGGTGCACCATAGAGAGGATCCTGACCTTCTACAGGTGCACCATAGAGAGCATCCTGACCTTCTACAGGTGCACCATAGAGAGGATCCTGACCAGGTTCACCATAGAGATTATCCTGACCTTCTACAGGTGCACCATAGAGAGGATCCTGACCTTCTACAGATGCTCCATAGAGAGGATCCTGACCTTCTACAGGTGCACCATAGAGAGGATCCTGACCTTCTACAGGTGCACCATAGAGAGGATCCTGAGCTTCTACAGGTGCACCATAGAGAGGATCCTGAACTTCTACAGGTGCACCATAGAGAGGATACTGACCTTCTACAGGTGCACCATAGAGAGGATCCTGACCCTCTACAGGTGCACCAGAGAGAGGATCCTGACCTTCTACAGGTGCACCATAGAGACTATCTTCACTGGCTACATCACGGCCTGGTACGGCAGTTGCACCGCCCTCAACCAGGGTTCGAGTTATAAACTGAGCTCTATGGGGGTCTTTAAAACTAACGTGTGCGCACGCGCACGCGCTCACGCACACACACTCAAACACACACACACACGCAGCACATGCATTATTTGTGATTAAAATAATGGTTGTTGGTAATGTATTAGCGACCCCCACAGATGTATGATTTCACTGCGTCCGTGGGAGCTCAGACCCTTCCTTATGGGTGGTGAAAACTACACAGCACATCACCAGGACGGAGCTGCCCTCCATGGAGGATCTTTACTCCCAGCGGCTCAGGAAGAAAGCCCTCAGGATTACAAAAGACCCCCATCACCCCAGCCACAAACTGTTCTGTCTCTGGTACTGCAGCATCCGGACTAGAACCACCAGACTCAGGGACAGTTTCATCCCACAGGCCATTAGACTGTTAAACACCTGAACTTTTGAAAGAACATCCATAACATTAATCTGTTTGCAACTTATATATATCAATATTCCAATTACTTGTATATAGACTATTCTGCACTGTTTCTATTATATTCTATTTTATCTTATTTACTTGCATTATTTTATCTGTTTTGTTGTGTTGCACTGTTGGAGCCTGTGACGTGAGATTTGCATCGTCATAACTGTAGCTATGTACAAATGACAATAAAAGCCTTGAATCCTAGAATGCTATATCGATACACAACCGTGTGTTTTTACAAACTTAATTTTGTTGTTGTTCTAATTGTCGAATATCTGCTTGCAATTATTTTTGTATTGTGTGTGTGTGTGTGTGTGTGTGTGTGTGTGTGTGTGTGTGTGTGTGTGTGTGTGTGTGTGTGTGTGTGTGTGTGTGTGTGTGTGTGTGTGTGTGTGTGTGTGTGTGTGTGTGTGTGTGTGTGTGTGTGTGTGTGTGTGTGTGTGTGTGTGTGTGTGTGTGTGTGTGTGTGTGTGCTTACCTGGAGACGGAGACAGTGTATTTGTAGTTAGATTCTGCAGTAGTCCAATTGATGATGGTTTTAAAGTCCAGAGAAACCCATTTTAAATTCTCTGCTTTGGGCACGTTGTTTTCTACGAACAAATGCAACACGGAATTAACAACGTTATTTCCTCCTGATCTCTGAATATGCTGGAGAATACTTTGAAATCCTCCTCCCCAGTCTCTCCTTCCTCGTATAATTAAAGCCAGACTCTGCCACTGAGAGCTGGATATGAGCCCAGAGTGAGAATGTAACCAAATGAAAACAGTCATATACATGCAGTTCATCCTCTCTGTGTTCCTACAGCAAACACTCATGCAACATTCCATTCCTGTTCTCATGCCTTCATTTCTTGCAGCGTCTTATGAATGTTGTGTAACACTCAGTTTGGTTTATTAGTTGCTTAATCATTACCACATGTCCCAAACAAAATGTACTGCGTCAGGATTAGGTGAATCACGGAACATTTAAGGATACAAATTAAATGAAAAATGTGCAAACTTCTTGTTACATCATGACACATATTTGCATCATCACCATACTGAACATTTCCAACATTTGTATTTCAACAAAAATAAATATCTATTGTATTTAAACTACAGTACGCTGTAACATTGGATCATTTAGAATAGTGGAGTAAACATGAACATGTTGTATGACTATCAGAGCATCAGATTGTCACAAAACTGATCAGCATTTTGATAAAATAAAATATGCGATGTGTGATATCTAAGGGGCGACCAGTAAAAAACCCACAAACTGCTGACTTCCTGATCCTTTACCTGACATGATCTGGGGGAGGGAGATAGGGAACTTTTACTAAGAATAAAATTAAAATAAAATGGTGGGAAAGTAGCTTCATAATTAAGAAAATTATAAAAACTATATTTGTAAAAAAAGAGTCCAACACAACCTTAAAAATACTTCTCTAGCTGCTATAAATTAACAACATTAACAGTTGTATCTCCATATATTTTGGTCTAGAGTTTGCCGGGAACATTAGATTAACCTGTTAAGCCCTTGGCCTGTTTTTCAGGTCTCAGGCTCGAAAATGACATTCCCAGAACAAATGACCATATCTTCCCTTCTAAAAGGGTTAAATTAATAATCTTTTTTCTCAAAGCAATGATACACCTGTGAGTTGGATGTAGAAAAGTCAGAATCAATATAGATGTTTTTATTTTAAAGTAAATTCAGATTGAACATAGTAAAACATTTTAAATTATAGTTTCCGTCCAAAACAAAAACCCATTACTTATAGTGAAAAGTTAAACCACCCTTGAATGATGGGATAGTAGACAAAAAGCTTTAGGAATCCAAACTATAACATATAATAAGTACCCTGTATCAAGATTGATCCAAAACAAGTGACATTTTACCTTTTTAGAGAGGTTTAGAAGAAAAAAAAACACCTCTGGGGTCATTTGGGTATATTTGCCATATCTCTGGAACCCATTGGTCGATTTTGGTGATTGACACCTCTTTTGAACCGTTAGAGCCAATAGAATCGAGGGAAAGTTATTAAGGAGTGAGAGTGATGCGCACGCAGTTTGCCCAAACCGAAAGCTACATTACGCTCTGAAAACTAGGCTTATTGCCATGAACAAATATTACGATGGATTATCAGTAATCATTTCAAAGTGACAGAGACATTGGATTAACCTTCAGCAGCATTTCTATACGTTTTAATGCCCTTGAACACAACTTTTGATCAGAAAACAGCAAAGGTAAGATATATTTGCCGTTTCGGCCCAGTAAAGGAAAGTTGTGTGTTGTCTTTGCCAGCCTTCGCTGCCGCGAGTTTTGGAATCTGTGGAATCTAAGCTTTCAGATGATATCTTGTTTGTGCAGATCCGATGAAGTATAAAAGATCGCTAACGTGAGTTATGTGCTAAGTGCGTTAGCACTCTTTCTCTTAGTGCTAATTCAGAGACTTGGGTTTTGTTTCGGTAAAAAAATGTCATATTGTCAGTTAGCTGAGTTTCTTCCCGTTAAGTGGGTATGACACATTAATAGGTTGTTAAATGTTAAGAATACAGTTTCGTATATTTAAGAATATTGTTGTGATAAGGGCTACCGGGCTTAACAGGTTAGTTAATATACACATTAAAGGTCACCTATTGTGCAAAATCCACTTTTTCATGTATTTTATACATAAACATGTGTCCCCTCTGTGTAAAGAGATTCTGAAAGTTTCAGGAAAAAAGATTCTCTCGCTTTTTGAAAAAAACTGTCTGAAAATGAGCTGATCAGATTTTGGCCACTTTATGATGTCTTTATGAACGTTTTTTGGCTTGTGTAACCATTAGCCAATAACCAATTGGGGCGGTGGTGGCGAAGTCGGTAGGGACTTGGCTTGGCAACTGGAAGGTCACCAGTTCAAATCCAGGAAAGACCAAGTGCTACCGAGGTGTCCCTGAGCAAGGCACCGTTCCCTACACTGCTCCCCGGGCGCCGTTCAAATTGGCAGCACACTGCTCCTAACACAGGATGGGTCAAATGCAGAGAAACAATTTCCCCACGGGGATTAATAAAGTCAACCAAGTTAAAGTTCAATTTAAACACAACAGGTCAAATATCAGCTTATCTGGACAAACACACTATTTATATGATGGGGGTGCAGCCCATTTTTTTATTCTAAAAAGGGCAGCTATGAAAAAACTAAAAACAGGAGGATTACGGTAAACATGGCACCAGAAGTCTAATCTCCACACCATGCCAACACAACAGAACGGCTGAATAGAAAAGCATGTGATAGGAAACATCAACTTTATACTACATTTAGTTATTGTTGTACTCTTTACTCCACTACATTCATTGTACAGACACATTCAAATAATCCCCATATTTACACATTGATGTACCCATTAATGCATAAATAAATACAATAAAATCCTCTGGTATATTATTCTGAAATGAGCGATTCTCCTAGCTACTTTTACTTTTGGTATTTTGCGTATTTTAGGATATTAAGTACAATATCTGAGTACTTCTCTCACCACTGGATAGAACCACATGGGAATGATGGAGACAAGTTACATAAACGTTGAACTATCTATCTATCTATTTATCTATCTATCTATCTATTTATCTATCTATCTATATATCTACCTACCTATCTATCTATCTATCTATCTATCTATTCATCTATCCCTCTATCTATCTATGTTGTTGTTATTGTGTTGTTGTTGCTGTTGTCTTACCTGCAGCAGTGAGGATCCACGTGTACAGACAGACCCCCAGACAGATCACAGTTCTCAGAGATGCCATGTTAACTCAACCTAAAATCCTTCCTCCTTAGAGCTTGACCCAGTTAGATCTGAACCCAGAGAGGAGGCTGTGAACGAGATTTCACTATGGAGCTCCACTGGACTGAGAGAGTGGGGAGGGGGGGGGGGGGGGGGGGGTGCACTGGGGGACGGTTCAGGGCTCCGCCTGCTGATCCCTCCCACATGCCTGCCTGCTGATGGAGGGTTCTGCAACAATGTGCTCAGTATGAACCCTCCCTCTCACCACAGTTCAGATTGAACATGGATGTGCTTGAGCCGACAACCCTTTAACAAAGTCCGTCTGCAGCTGACCCTCGTGTAAACTCACAGAAACATGAGGGCTTTTTGCACCCACTGAAACAGTAGATCCTGTCTCTGTGTGGGGGGGGGGGGTTAACTGTTTCTGTGGAGACTGCTTTATGCCGCATGTTACTGGAAGTATTGTCCCAGGTGGTCCAGTTCCAGTTCATGACTTAGATCAGCAGAACTTATTGTCTTTCTAAACACACAGCAATACTGAAACTCAGAAAATGATAGAGAATCAACATTTCCTTAAATCTAATCCTAGTTGTAACTGGTACATGGTCATACTCTGTATGCCTCCGGGACAGGAGAGCAGCCAGGGGATGTGGGACTGAAGACAAGTAGCAAAGAGCAGAGCTAAAGCTGAAGGTATTTTTGGTTTTCTTGTGAAAAGTGGCGAGGACCTCCTGGTAGCAATTAGAAACCATGTGACCTCCACACACACAAAACACACACACTCACTCACTCACTCGCTCGCTCGCACGCACACACACACACACACACACACACACACACACACACACACACACACACACACACACACACACACACACACACACACCACACACACACACACACACACACACACACACACACAGAATGAGACACTGTTAGTATTACTCAACCCTGTCTAATACTTACACTAATATACAATTTACACAAATTATTTTTATAAACAAGACTTTGCCCAGATTATGTTTGTATCAACATAAAAGGAAACAGTTATTTTTGGCAGGATGTTCATATCAAATGCATCTGTAAAACATCTAAGTCAGCATTTAATTAGCATTGAATGAATTATTATTTATGATGGTTAGTTTGGTGGCAGAGTGTCTCAAAGTACAGATTACACTGATCTAATGTCCAATCCTTGTGTTTCTTGACCCAAACAATTCTCTTCTTCTTGTTATTCATCCTCAGTAGTGGATCTTTGCAGCGATTGGACCATGAAGGCCTGATTCACGATGTCTCCTCTGAACAGTGGATGCTGAGATTTGTCTGCTACTTCAGCTCTGTGAACATTTATGTGGGCTCTAATCTGAGGTGCTTTAATGTGTTCTTTCTGAGCCTGGTAACTGATGTTTTTATCCTCTGCAGCAGAGGTAACTCTTGCTCTTCCTTTCCCGGGGGGGTCCTCATGAGAGCCAGTCTCATCATAGCGTTCGATGGTTTTTGCGACTGCACTTGAGGATACATTCAAAGTTCTTGACATTTTCCGGATCGACTGGCCTTCATTTCTTAAAGTGATGATAGACGGTCACTTCTCTTCACTGAGTTGACTGGTTCTTGCTATAATATGGATTACATCAGTAGTCAAATAGGTCTTTCCACTGTGTACTAACCCTACCTCTGCTCAACACAACTGATGGTCTCAAACACATTAAGAAGGCAAGTCATTCCACAAATTGACTCTTGACAAGGCCACACGAGGACAATAACGGTCGTATCTGCTACAGTTCACTATCAGATAGGCGCAGTGGCGGTGCCAGGGTATGGCTGGGGTAGGCCAATGTAAGGTAAATGGCTTAGCCCCACCTTAGCCCCACCATGAACAATTATGTTAAAGTAAGCAAAATAAAGTCCGCCAACTCGCATGGAGTAAATTGCACAGACAGTTAGTAAGATTGATTTCAGTAGCCACTTGTCTGGAAATACCGAAGACTAGAAACGGTTTTGAAAACTTTTGTCACGTAGTGATCGTCTTCTTAATAGAACATCTTTGATAATGTCCTCTGGCCAATCAGAATCACGATAACGGTGTGGTGTTGTTGCAGGAAGTCCCGACGGAGAATACTTTTGCTGTAGTACATCTCTATATACATCGATACAACATTACGTGTTGATAGAAATCAACACGTAATGAAATAAGACCCCACGGTTTGATGATTGATAGGTGTGTGGGCTGTCTTTCATTTTGACACACAGAACAATGCGGGCTATCCACCCTTATCCACAATGTAAAGTAATTCACACAGCCTCTTCCCTCTTCTCTCTGTGAGGAGCAGCAGGTTCAGCTTTCAGAACAAAAAACTAAAATGGCATTCATTTTTTTAAACATGTCGTGTAGTCATAGATTTATTTATTTTTCTTCTCAAGAGAGTACCAGAATGTGTATTTTATGTTAGTATTTCAAAAAATCTCCTGGAGGGGTTGGGTTTTCAGCATGTCAACTCTTTCACCTGTGGAGAAATTGCAGGATTGGCTCCAGGTCGCCCTTTTTATTTACTACAAGACAAATGTGCCTTTTTATTTCATACAGATCAATTTGGATTGAGACAGGGAAATAATCTAAACCTCACGCGTGGCGTTTCACTGTCAAGGGGAACGTGTATGTAATTACATTCCAAAAACTGACTTGAGCCCCACCACTGTATGGGTTAGCCCTAGCATAGATTACCCAACTCTGGAGCCGCCACTGGATAGGCGGTTCGGCCACACGAGGCCGACATGGAAAGGCAGAAAACGATAATGATAACGGGTCCCAAGGTGGGTAGATCTGCAAACGAAACGCTCTGGGGGGGCTAACGGCTCCGTGTTTACGCCTAAACGATCATTTCCTGATAACGATGAAGAAATAGCCCCGCCTCTCCTGCTCAGAGATCAGCTGCTGGGCTCTCAGAAGAGGGGGAGGAAAAGAGAGACTCTATTTTGTATTCTTATATAGAGTCGTTATTCATTTGTTTTAAAGCTCAATAAATAACAACGAAGACCTTTGACCGGCACTTTTCTATATTTGTCCGGAAGATTTAAACTTTAACGGACATGTTGACCGGCGGAAAAAAATCTAACTGAAACTCTGCTGCACGGTCCTCTCGTTCCTTGGAAGAGGCGGAGAGGTGGGTGTGAACGCTTGCCTCGGGGAGGGAGAAAAATATCCAGAGCGTCCACAGCGGAAAATAAACGGAAGGGCAACCATGGCAACCATGCGCGGGAAGTCTTCTTCGCTGATTTTGTGCCAGGACTACAGCGCCACTTACAGGCCTAAGGGGCAGCGGGTACTGTAGGCTTGGGAAGGCTTAGCCTTTATGGTAAAATAAAAAAATATAATGTAGCCTATAATGTTTGTGTCTTTGACATTAGCGCTGCTATGCAGCCACCTGTGCCCTGTACTGAGTCAGGGAAATAATCTAAACAGTTCAACAGACCCTGGATATGTTACGGTCTCGGGCACTTAGGAGATAGGACCCAATTGCAGGACCCGGGAGACAGAGGTAAAGTATTGTAAGATACTTTATTTTTTAAATGAACAGCAAAAATTATCAACAAAAAATTATCTCTACAAAATGGAGAACAAAAATGAAAACGCTCACATAGTGAGGATCAAACTTATCAAGACCTCAAAAAAGCATAGACCCGACTGTGGCAAGAGACGAGAGTAAAGCACTGACCATGGCAATCGACAAAAAGCATAGACCTGACCATGACAAGAAACAAGACCTTCCAGGGCAAAGACAAAAACGAACTGACACTGAACACTGGGAGACAGGGGAATTTAAACACAGGGTAACTAGACACAGGTGGGAACAATCAGGGGCGGGGCTGACACTGATGAGCACAGGAGACACACAAGGAGTGACAGGTGAAAACAATCAGGAAATTAGACACACCAGGGAAACTAACGACAGACATGAAAACACAGGGAAAAGAGACCAGACAATATACAGGGAGGAAAACATGACAAGGAGAACGGAAAAACACCCACACCTAGAAACGTGACATGACATAATAATCCTAACAGAACCCCCCCCTCAAGGGACGGATACTAGACGTCCCTAAACCAAAATCAATAAATCCAAAACGTCCAGCAGGGTGGGTGGAGGGGGTCCGGAGGACGGGCCTTGACTGACAGCCCAGGGCACGGCCGAGGACCAGGAAGGGGTCTCGGGCGGACGGCCCGGGGGTAAGGCAGAGACCATGGATGGGGTCTCGGCGGACAGCCCAGGGGCAAGGCAGAGTTCAAAAAGGGGAACTCTGACGGACGGCCCGGGGGCAAGGCAGAGTTCGAGGAGGGGGTCTCGGGCGGACGGCCCGGGGGCAAGGCAGAGTTAAAAAAGGGGGTCTCGGGCGGACGGCCCGGGGGCAAGACAGAATTCGAGGAGGGGTGAAGACCACAGCGGGCAAACTCAGGGGACCGGGCTCGAGGGCGAAGACCGGACAGCTCCGGAGGCCGGGCAGGAGCCGGTGACGGCAAGATCCCCCACGGAAGAGGACACAGGGCCGGCAGGACCCCCGGCAGGAGAGCAGTCGGCGGAACCTCCAACGGCACGGGACATAGGGTTGGCAGGACCCCCGGCAGCAGAGTAGTCTGCGGGACCTCCAACGTGACAAGACATGGAGTTGGCAGGACCCCCGGCAGAAGAGTAGTCTGCGGGACCTCCAACGGCACAGGACATGGGGTTGGCAGGACCCCCGGCAGAAGAGCAGTCTGCAGGACCTCCAACAGGACAAGACATGGAGTTGGCAGGACCCCCGGCAGAAGACTAGTCTGCGGGACCTCCAACGGCTCAGGACATGGGGTTGGCAGGACCCCCGGCAGAAGAGCAGTCTGCGGGACCTCCAACGGGACAAAACATGGAGTTGGCAGGACCCCCGGCAGAAGAGTAGTTTGCGGGACCTCCAACGGCTCAGGACATGGGGTTGGCAGGACCCCCGGCAGGAGAGTAGCCGGCGGGACCTGCAACGGGACAGGACATAGGGTTGGCAGGACCCCCGGCAGGAGAGTAGTCGGCGGGGCCTCCAACGAGACAGGACAAAGGGTTGACAGGAC